GATCCAACATTAATTCTTAATGGGATTGGAATTGATTGAGAAGCAAACCAAAACAAAACTGAAAGTTTTCTAGAACGGAACTTAAAACTAAACCTCAAACTAAAATTAATTAATTTAAAACTGATACACTTTCTCTGAGTGTAAAATTTTGTGAATATGTGTTCCCTATACAAAAGCTAAATACTGTGATGCTTAACATCTGATAAATAATTCTTATTGTACATTATTTAAATGTGCATAAATATTTTGCACACACATTTTATTTTTTCACTATTCACTATTTTATTCATACATATATAGAATTTCAAGGTTAATATACTCAATGCAAAGCTATTGTTTTCCTATTGTATCATTTTAATTTTAAACATCTGCTGCCTCAGAGAATTCATGTTAAAATAATAAACAAATTGTATTAAGTGTAATGAATATAATAATTTTAATGCAATTTTTTTAAAGTTTTATTTTAATCCAAATAAGACAGACAGATAGACAACCTGTTTATATAGTAGGTATCAAAAACAAACGGACCGATGACACCTACTCAAATGCTTGAATGCATACATTTATGCTCATAAAAATATTTGGGTTTGAAAGGAGATTTATGATGCTTCCCAGCAGCAGCAGCAATAACAACGATAACAATTATCTAAGTTGGTTGTAACGGTACAATTGTGTTTGGAGTTGGGAAATCAACTCATGAACTCAATTCTATAGGTGGTTTATGTTCTTTTTTTTTTTTGTTTCTTCTATTTTACCAACAATTTTGCAAACTATTAATTCAAATTCGGAGTCTGTGTATTGTATGTGTGTTTGTGTGTGTTTGATTGTTTATGGTCATGCAATCATGGTCATACATTCAAAGTTTTTTGATTTGTACGAGTGAATATGTGTTTGTGTGGTGTAAAGATAAGTGTACTTGCAACATGAATGTTTTCCCAACCGGCAAATATTGTATATAACATAAAACTGGCAACAACAAAACTAAATAGCAACAACAACAACAATAAAATAACGTGTCGTTTTAATGCAAAATGTTGACGGTTCTGGTAATAGTTTCAACTTCTCGTATTTGTCTAAACAGTGGGGGGCAAAACAACTTAAATATTAAGCACTTCTAGCAAAATTTATTATTCCTTTAAAATTCCATTTAGTTGCTAAAATTTTAACCTCCACTGTTTCAAATATACACATGTATGTTTCTGTAGTAGTTTCGCATGTTAAGTGCATATAGTTAAGCCGGCTTTAAACCTCTATTTTAACTTGTTTTTTCTAAGTTCGAGTACATGTAACTGTCTATTTTAAAGTGTCTAGTTAGAAAGAAACTTAATACCGTTGGAATATATATCATTTAATTTTATTTTGCATGACAAACAATCACTTTTTTTTTGTAAAAACAAAACTTCAAATCGCGAACTTTTTAAAGTTTTTTTTTTTATAAAACTAGTTTAAAAAGATATGAAAAACTATATGGCATTTTTAGAAGTATTATTAAGTAATCACTTTGTCAACAGATTAAAATGATGCAATTAAAAGTTCATTTGTTGTTAGATCTTTTAAATTAGTTAGAAACGTAACGGAATTGGTACAGAACTTAAGTGGAATTAGTGGAAAGCTAAAGTAGAATTGATAGAATTGTTTTGGAGCTAATATCAGAACCAACTAAATTAGAACTAGAACTGAACTAGAACTGAACTAGAACTGAACTAGAACTGAACTAGAACTGAACTAGAACTGAACTAGAACTGAACTAGAACTGAACTAGAACTGAACTAGAACTGAACTAGAACTGAACTAGAACTGAACTAGAACTGAACTAGAACTGAACTAGAACTGAACTAGAACTGAACTAGAACTGAACTAGAACTGAACTAGAACTGAACTAGAACTGAACTAGAACTGAACTAGAACTGAACTAGAACTGAACTAGAACTGAACTAGAACTGAACTAGAACTGAACTAGAACTGAACTAGAACTGAACTAGAACTGAACTAGAACTAGAACAGAACTGAACTAGAACTAGAACTGAACTGAACTAGAACTAGAACTGAACTAGAACTAGAACTGAACTAGAACTGAACTAGAACTGAACTAGAACTGAACTAGAACTGAACTAGAACTGAACTAGAACTGAACTAGAACTGAACTAGAACAGAACTAGAACAGAACTAGAACAGAACTAGAACAGAACTAGAACAGAACTAGAACAGAACTAGAGAACTAGAACAGAACTAACAGAACTAGAATAGAACTAGAACAGAACTAGAATACTAGAATAGAACTACAACAAACTACAACAGAACTAAAACAGAACTAGAATATAACTAGAACAGAACTACAACTGAACTACAACTGAACTAGAACTGAACTAGAACTGAACTAGAACTGAACTAGAACTGAACTAGAACTGAACTAGAACTGAACTAGAACTGAACTAGAACTGAACTAGAACTGAACTAGAACTGAACTAGAACTGAACTAGAACTGAACTAGAACTGAACTAGAACTGAACTAGAACTGAACTAGAACTGAACTAGAACTGAACTAGAACTGAACTAGAACTGAACTAGAACTGAACTAGAACTGAACTAGAACTGAACTAGAACTGAACTAGAACTGAACTAGAACTGAACTAGAACTGAACTAGAACTGAACTAGAACTGAACTAGAACTGAACTAGAACTGAACTAGAACTGAACTAGAACTGAACTAGAACTGAACTAGAACTGAACTAGAACTGAACTAGAACTGAACTAGAACAGAACTAGAACTGAACTAGAACTGAACTAGAACTGAACTAGAACTGAACTAGAAATAACTGAACTAGAACTGGACTAGAACTGAACTAGAACTGAACTAGAACTGAACTAGAACAGAACTAGAATAGAACTACAACAGAACTACAGCAGAACTAGAACAGAACTACAACAGAACTAGAACTGAACTAGAATAGAAATAGAACTGAACTAGAACAGAACTAGAACAGAACTAGAACAGAACTAGAACAGAACTAGAACAGAACTAGAACAGAACTAGAACAGAACTAGAACAGAACTAGAACAGAACTAGAACAGAACTAGAACAGAACTAGAACAGAACTAGAACAGAACTAGAACAGAACTAGAACAGAACTAGAACAGAACTAGAACAGAACTAGAACAGAACTAGAACAGAACTAGAACTGAACTGAACTAGAACAGAACTAGAACTGAACTAGAACTGAATTAGAACTGAACTAGAACTGAACTAGAACTGAACTAGAACTGAACTAGAACTGAACTAGAACTGAACTAGAACTGAACTAGAACTGAACTAGAACTGAACTAGAACTGAACTAGAACTGAACTAGAACTGAACTAGAACTGAACTAGAACTGAACTAGAACTAAACTAGAACTGAACTAGAACTGAACTAGAACTGAACTAGAACTGAACTAGAACTGAACTAGAACTGAACTAGAACTGAACTAGAACTGAACTAGAACTAAACTAGAACTGTACTAGAACTGAACTAGATCAGAACTAAAACTGTTTTGAATTTTAAACCCTGATTTTTTAAATGCAATACATTTCATTCTGCTTTCACATCATTCCCTGTAATTTTTTCGAAAAATTACATTAAAAAATCTTGTTTTTATAAATTACTAATTTAGCAAAATTTCTTGTCATATAATCCAAATTTTAAAAAAATTAACATGTGGAGTTCTTTGCGCCGATTGACTCATACCAGCGCCCCTTTGGAAATGTGTAAAATATGCATACTGGGAGCCGATGGTGGTATCGGCCGACATTTGGCTCTTAAACTGAAACTTAATAAAAGTATAACCGATTTAGCTTTGTATGATATTGCGGACACAAAGGGCGTTAGAGAAGATTTATCGCATATTGACACCATGTGTCAGGTATTTGCCTATAGCGGGGAGAAAGCTTTAGTGGAATCTTTGAAATGCAGCAATATAGTGGTGGTATTGGCGGGACAAGCTCATTCGCCTAAATTCAGTTCGAGAGAAGCCATGTTTGGAGCCAATGCTGAATTAATGATTAACTTTATGAAGGCCACTGTGGAGGCCTGTTCTCATAATATGCCTTTTATACATATAGTCACTAATCCGGTCAATGCTTTGGTGCCTTTATGTGCGGAGTATTTAAAAGATGTGGGTAGTTATAATCCTAGAAAGCTAATAGGTTCTTCTTCTGTGGATACTATGCGAGCACGCACTTTTCTGGGCCAGGTGGTGGGTTGTGATCCCTCTAAACTTATAGTGCCTGTAGTGGGAGGACACTCGGCGGGTAGTATTACTCCCTTGGTTTCACAAAGTAAACCGCGCTTTGAACTGGATAAAAAGGTTCAACAGCAATTGGAAGATCGTATAGTTCACGGTGCCGGCGAAGTGGTAAAAGCTAAGAAAACTCAAGGCGCCGCCCAATTGGCTATGGGCCATTGTGTGGCGTATTTTTGTGATTCTATATGTCGTGCTATAAATGGTGAAAAGAACGTAGTGGAGGTGGGTTATGTGCCCGCAGATGTTAATGAATTGGAATTCTTTGCTTGCAATTTCAAGCTGGATAAAGAGGGGATTACAGAGTGTCATCGATTGCCCCCTATGTCGGAATATGAAACCGAGTTGTATTGTAAGGCGGTAAAGGATGTTCAAAATAATATTAATACGGCGAAAGAGTTTTACAAGAAATATAAAACGGAGAAGTGTAAATGAAGATTATGGGATCCATAAGGGTAAATAAAGATTATAGGATGCATATAGGGACAAAATTGCAAGCGATTTCTTAATCTAGAGATTTTTTCTTAAAATCATCAGAATTTTTGTTTAGTTATCCGCCATTTTTTAATAAATTTAGAATAAAACTTTTAGAAATTAAGAAATTATTTTATTTATAATAAAAATAAACAATTTTTAAATAAAGTTTTTAATATAAAATCCAAATATAAAGCCGTTAAATTTTCTAGCTCCTCCTGCTCCTATTTCCGGCCTTTTTCTTTCTCCTCACTTCTGCCCCTTCTTACTCTGAGCGTATTTAATACCCTGCTCTATGCTTTCCTTTAACTCCGGTAAAGCTTTCTTTAATAACTCCTTTTCATAGGAGCTCAAGGTAGGCAAAGTTTCGAATCCCTTTATGCCCTCTTTACTCAACTCAACATTAGAGGAGAAAAATTTAACTTCGGGCACCACTTTGGATTCAACATAAGCCACATCCACCACACCCGATTTATCCTCCAAAGCCTTTAATAAAGAATTACAAAAAGTCGCTGCCACATAGGCCATAGAAAGTTGAGCCGATTCTTTGCCCCCTTTAGCCTTAACCACAGCTGCTCCAGCACATCTTATACGTTCATAAATAACCGATAATTCCTCACAATCTCCTTTTACCGTGGGCGTAGCTGTGGATATCAAGGGTATAATGGTATTACTGGAGTGGCCACCGATAACATTAACCTTTACTTTCCCGGGATCTACTAACAAATACTCCCCTATAAAGGTGCGTGCTCTCATGGTATCTAGTTTAGTTACACCAAATAATTTCTTGGGATCATAAGCATTTAACTGCTTCAAGGTTTCGGCCGCCAAGGGCACTAAAGCATTAACCGGATTTGTTATAATAGCCAATATGGCCTCAGGACAAATTTTAGCTTTTAGCGAAGTTATCTGATATATCAAATCCTTATTGGCATCAATAAAGCAGCCCTAGTAGTAGTTTTATCCGTTCTAGCCATTCCCGCAGCCACGACCACCAAATTTGAACATTCCAAAGATTGTTCCAATTTATCGGGACCCGTAAATGCTTTAACACCCGAAAATGTATCGATGTGAGAAACATCTGCTGCTATGCCATCGGTATTTTTGATATCCATTAAAACCAAATCGCTAACTAGACGATCGGCTTTTATAAGCATGGCCAGGGCCTGACCAATGCCACCAGCTGAACCGATAACGGTAACGCGACTAAAATGCGTAGACGTGGAGGAAATTAAACGTTTGTTGGCGGTTCGAGACAAAACTTTCGATAATTGTTTTAGCATTTTGTAAGGGAAAATAACGGGAATGCTTTTTTAAGAATCAAATGATTTGAAACAAAAAAATATTAAATATTTTTATATTAAATGTCGAAATTATAATGCTGGAAAACTATCGATAAAATATAGAGGTGTAACTTTATGTCTTAAAAACTCAGAAACTTTAGCTAAAAGTTCAATTTTCATGACAAATCATACTTTCATAAAAATTCCAAAATTGCTTTAAAATTATCAATTAAAAATTGTATTATAAGCTAAATTAAGCTTCAACCAATTTTATACTTTATTTGCCTGGAAACAATTTATACTTCTGGCCAAACCTGCTGTCATTTTAAATAGAATTTCTGCCTAAAAATTGTCTTAATTCTTTTCTAATTAATTTTACAAATGACCCCTAATTATAAAACAATAAACATTTTTCTCACAATTTTAATACAATTATAAAAAAATTCTTTATAAAAAATTAAATTTTAATTAAATTTTTTTACAACAAATTCCTTCCACTTACAAACAGTTCAATGTCAATAACCCAAGATCTAACCAGAAAAAGACTCAATACAACTAAGCACAGCTTTAAAGCATAAATTGTTAGTTTTTTTTCTAAAAGTTCGCCATTAACATAAAACCCAAGATCAATATACGTCTGGTTCAGAGAATCTACTTACGTACTAACTACAATTACTTTGTTTTTTTCTGCGTTATTTTGCTGTGTCATTAGTTTATTATGTGGTTTAATTATGTTGATTTTAAGCGAAAAAATAACAATAACAAATTATAAATAAAATAGAAAAAAAAAGTAATGACAAAGAAAATAAATTCTTTTAGTTTAAGTTCAATGAGGTTTTAATTAAAATAATAGTAGAAAAAGGCAGCGGTAAATATTATTATTTAATTATAGGCAATTATTTTAAAAAGTTTGAAAAGCAAGCAAGCAAGCTAGCTAACTAACTAACTAACTAACTAACTAACTAACTAACTAACTAACTACTAACTAACTAACTAACTAACTAACTACTACTAACTAACTAACTACTAACTACTAACTAACTAACTAACTAACTAACTAACTAACTACTAACTAACTAACTAACTAACTAACGAACTAACTAACTAACTAACTAACTAACTAACTACTAACTAACTAACTAACTAACTAACTAACTAACTAACTAACTAACTAACTAACTAACTACTAACTAACTAACTAACTAACTAACTAACTAACTAACTAACTAACTAACTAACTAACTAACTAACTAACTAACTAACTAACTAACTAACTAACTAACTAACTACTAACTAACTAACTAACTAACTAACTAACTAACTAACTACTAACTAACTAACTAACTACTAACTAACTAACTACTAACTAACTAACTAACTAACTAACTAACTAACTAACTACTAACTAACTAACTACTAACTAACTAACTAACTACTAACTAACTAACTAACTAACTAACTAACTAACTAACTAACTAACTACTAACTAACTAACTAACTAACTAACTAACTACTACTAACTAACTACTAACTAACTAACTAACTAACTAACTAACTAACTAACTAACTACTAACTAACTAACTAACTAACTAACTAACTAACTAACTAACTAACTAACTAACTAACTAACTAACTAACTAACTAACTAACTAACTAACTAACTAACTAACTAACTAACTAACTAACTAACTAACTAACTAACTAACTAACTAACTAACTAACTAACTAACTAACTAACTACTACTAACTAACTAACTAACTAACTAACTAACTAACTAACTAACTAACTAACTAACTAACTAACTAACTAACTAACTAACTAACTAACTAACTAACTAACTAACTAACTAACTAACTAACTACTAACTACTAACTAACTAACTAACTACTAACTAACTAACTAACTAACTAACTAACTAACTAACTAACTAACTAACTAACTAACTAACTAACTAACTAACTAACTAACTAACTACTACTAACTAACTACTAACTAACTAACTAACTAACTAACTAACTAACTAACTAACTAACTAACTAACTAACTACTAACTAACTAACTAACTAACTAACTAACTAACTAACTAACTAACTAACTAACTAACTAACTAACTAACTAACTAACTAACTACTACTACTAACTAACTAACTAACTAACTAACTAACTAACTAACTAACTAACTAACTACTAACTAACTAACTAACTAACTAACTAACTAACTAACTAACTAACTAACTAACTAACTAACTAACTAACTAACTAACTAACTAACTACTAACTAACTAACTAACTAACTAACTAACTAACTAACTAACTAACTAACTAACTAACTAACTAACTAACTAACTAACTAACTAACTAACTAACTAACTAACTAACTAACTAACTAACTACTAACTAACTAACTAACTAACTAACTAACTAACTAACTAACTAACTAACTAACTAACTAACTAACTACTAACTAACTAACTAACTAACTAACTAACTAACTAACTAACTAACTAACTAACTAACTAACTAACTAACTAACTAACTAACTAACTAACTAACTAACTAACTAACTAACTAACTAACTAACTAACTAACTAACTAACTAACTAACTAACTAACTAACTAACTAACTAACTAACTAACTAACTAACTACTAACTAACTAACTAACTAACTAACTAACTAACTAACTAACTAACTAACTAACTACTAACTAACTAACTAACTAACTAACTAACTAACTAACTAACTAACTAACTAACTAACTAACTAACTAACTAACTAACTAACTAACTAACTAACTAACTAACTAACTAACTAACTAACTAACTAACTACTAACTAACTAACTAACTAACTAACTAACTAACTAACTAACTAACTAACTAACTAACTAACTAACTAACTAACTAACTAACTAACTAACTAACTAACTAACTAACTAACTAACTAACTAACTAACTAACTAACTAACTACTAACTAACTAACTAACTAACTAACTAACTAACTAACTAACTAACTAACTAACTAACTAACTAACTAACTAACTAACTAACTAACTAACTAACTAACTAACTAACTAACTAACTAACTAACTAACTAACTAACTAACTAACTAACTAACTAACTAACTAACTAACTAACTAACTAACTAACTAACTAACTAACTAACTAACTAACTAACTAACTAACTACTAACTAACTAACTAACTAACTACTAACTAACTAACTAACTAACTAACTAACTACTAACTAACTAACTAACTACTAACTAACTAACTACTAACTAACTAACTAACTAACTAACTAACTAACTACTACTAACTAACTAACTAACTAACTAACTAACTAACTACTAACTAACTAACTAACTAACTACTAACTAACTAACTAACTACTAACTAACTAACTAACTAACTAACTAACTAACTAACTAACTAACTAACTAACTAACTAACTACCTAACTAACTAACTAACTAACTAACTAACTAACTAACTACTAACTAACTAACTACTAACTAACTAACTAACTAACTAACTAACTAACTAACTAACTACCTAACTAACTACCTAACTAACTAACTAACTGCCAAACTAACTACCTAACTAAATAACTGGTTAAAGCAGGCTCAATTCGACCTTAATAGTACCTTTTTTATTGAACGAGCACTTCGACTTTTAACGAAGCTCTTTAAGTTAGAGCTCTTTAAGTTAGGCTTCAATCGGGCTTATTGGGTTTCCTGGAATCTGTTTAAGTAGATTGACATTCAATTCAATCTCACCTTTCCCAGTGAACTGAGTTCGCCCTTAATCTTAGCTGTTTTAATCAACTGAGTTTTGCCTTAATCGAAGTTTATTTCAAGTTAAAAAAGTTTGGTTGCATTTGGACTGAGATTGAATTCAATGCAAGTTCTTGAAGTATATTGACTACGTGACGCTGCTCTTTAGTTGGAGCTATATCTATATCTCCAGTTATCGCTTAACCAGTTTATATTCTGTCGGTTAAAATAAATTGAGATAAAAATGAACAAGGCATTGAGAAAATAGAGGCAAGTATTCGACCTTAATCGTAGCTCTTTAAGCAGACTTAGCTGCACTTCAATCTGATCTCTTTATGTTTACTAAGTTTGACTTCAATCAGACTTATTTTGACTATAATCGAAGCTCTTAGAGTCGACTGAGTTTGGTTTTAATTGAAGCTCTTAAGGTAGACTGATTTTGTCAACAATCTGAGCTCTTTATCTAGACTGAATTTGGCTTTAGTCGCAGCTTCTTAAGAAGACTTAGTTAGCCTTGGAACTCTTTAAATTTTGAATTCAATTGGAGCTCTTAAAGTAGATTAAACTGGGCTATAATCAGACCTCTTTAAGTTGACTGGGTTTGGCTTCAATCACAGCTCTTTAAGTAGACTTACTAGAACTCAATCTGAGCTCTAAGAAAAGCTTGATCTTGCCTTCAAACAAAGCTTTTCAAATAAATTTAGTCTCTCACTCTCCTTTTTCTATTATTTTCACTCGTTAACTCGCTTAAGTACTTTTTAAACTTTTGGGTTACCAGATTTGAATAATTTTCCAACTAAACGTGATTTCCTGATTGTTATAATTGTAACCAAAAACCGGAAAACTATAACATTTAAAACCCTTAAATAAAACGCGTTAAAAAATAAACGTTTATTTGTTTTATATTTAACACTAGGAAAAGAAAAACTTTCACCTATTATTTTGATATTTGAGTTGGATTTTAAAACCTTCTAAAACCCCACAAACGCTAATTAGTTTAGCATACAACTAGTACAATAAACCACCAAAATGAAAGTTGAAGATTTCAAATGATTTGTATTTCCTACACTACTAATGCCACATTACCTGCAAAGATGTAAATGATAACATAGAAGAAGAAGAAGAAAATAAGTAGTAACAATTTCACAAAACCATTGTTGAAAGAAGTCTTCCTCCAATTCTAGCTTATTTTTCTATGCTTTTCGATTTACATCTTTAACATCTTTTCTGTTTTATTAACATTTTTTTGTTTTTAGTTTAGTAACATTTGTATTTCTTCAGCTAAACCACTGAATCAACATACAAATTACAAAAACCATACATTTTAGTTGGTCGTGTCGTTTAGTTGATTCCGTCAGTCATACGTTACTGGCTTAAGCCCCTCAATGCACTCACTGCCACAAAATGTGCATGAAGACTGACCTACATTTTTTTTTCTTCTGTTTTCCCCAATAGTCATCATCATATTAACGTAATATTAAACAAAAATAGTATAAAAAAAACAACAATTACTGGGTGTATAGAGGAGAAGAGCTGGAGAAGAATAGAATACAAAAGCACACGTAAAATTATTTCTATATTGTAGTCGACTATGTCGTCTGTCGTCTTTGGTCTTGGATCGTCATCATATTCTTTTTATTTTCATGTTATTATTGTAGTTTTAGCATTTGAAATGGCATTTTAAAATGGTCTCTCACTCAAATAAAGAGTTGTGTGTATTGTCATTTTCTAATTGTATGTCATTTTCGGATAATGAATATTATTCGAAATAAAGGGTATAAAAGTCAAAACTGTCAGAACAGAATATCAAAATTGTAACTGAAATTTGGTCTAAATCGGAGCTCTTTAACTTTAATAGGACTAGGAATAGTGTGGAGCTTCAATCGCAAAATTTTTTAAGTTTGCAAAGTTTTGCTCCAATCGGAGACTAAGTTTGCCTTCAATCCGAGTTCTTTAAGTACATAGAGTTTGGCTTCAATCGGACTAGGTTGGACTTCAATCAAAGCTCTGTAAGTCGACTAATTTTGCCAACAATTGACGCTTTTTTAATAAACTTAATGAGGCTTCAATCGCGCACCTTGAAGTAGATCGGACTGGATTTAGCTTCAATCGTAGCTCTTTAATTAGACCGGGTTTGGCTTCAGTGAGAACCCTTTAAAAAGACTCAGTTTGGCCTGAATAGGAGACTCAGTTTGATTTGAATAGGAGCCTCAATTTGTCTTCATTCGGAGCTCTTTAAGTAAATTGAGTTTGGCGTCAATATGTTGCTCTTTAAGTAGACAGAATTTGACATTAATTGAACTGAGTTTCCTTGCATGGGAGCTCTATAAGAAGTTCAAAAGAGACTCTTTAAGTAGACAAAGTTTGACTTTAATCGGAGATTTAAAAGTGGAATGAATTTGCCTTCAATACGAACTCTTTAAGTAGGTAGTGTTTGACTTCAATTGGAGCTCCTCAAGTAAAATGAGTTTGCCTCCAATCGGAGCTCTTTAAATGCTTCAATATCCTATCTTCAAGCAGATGGATGGTGTCTTAAATCAATACTTCTTAATAAGTCTGAATTCGCCTTCAGTTGGAGCTCTTTAAGTATAGAAAGGGTTCGGCGTCAATAGAGGTTTCTTTAAGTAGACAGATCTAGACATTAATCGGAATGAGTTGACTTCCATCGGAGCTCTTTAAGTAGATCGAGTTGGACGTCAAAAGAGTCTCTCTTAAATAGACAAAGTTTGACTTCAGTCGGAGCTCTTAAAGAGAAATGAATTTGCCCTCAATACGAACTCTTCATGTAGACAGAGTTTGGCTTTAATTGAAGCTCCTTAAGTAGAGTGAATTTGTCTCCAAACAGAGCTGTTAAAGTAGACCGGGTTTGGCTTCAATGAGAGCCCTTTAAGTCGATTGAGCTTGGCTTATATGAGAGCTTTTTAAGTAGACTGAGTTCACTAGGAGGCTCTTTGAGTAAACAGAGTTTGGCATTAATTGGACTGAGTTGGCTTTCATCGGAGCACTTTAAGTAAATTGAGTGAGGCGTCAAAATACGCTCTTTAATTAGAAAGAGTTTGACTCTAAGCGGATTTCTATAGTGAGTGAGTTTGCCTCCAATCGGAGCTTTTTGAGAAGACACGGGTTTTCTTCAATATAAGCCCTTTAAAAAGACTAAGTTTGGCTTCAATGGGAGCTTTTTAAGTATACAAAGTTTGGCTCCAATCAGAGCTTATTAAGTAGAAAGAGTGGGGCTTCAATTCGAATTCTTTATGTAGACAAAGTTTGGCTTCAATCGCTGCACTTTAGCAAACTTAGTTTATCTTCATTTGGAGCTTTTTAAGTTCACTGAGTTTGACTTCAATCGAAGCATTTTAATAAGATGGAATTTGACTTCAATCGGTCTAAAATTGACTTCAATTTGAGATCTATAACTAAACTTGGCGTTAAGAAAGTCTTTAGACTTCAATCAGACTAAGTATGGATGGCAATTGGAGTTCTTTTAGTGGACTGAGTTTGGCTTTAGACGTTGCTCTTATAGTAGACTAAATTGACTACAATCGGAGCTCTCTAGACTGAATTTCTTTTCAATCGTATCTCTTTTAGCGTTGAGCTTCAAACGGAGCTCTTTAAGCAGAGAAAGTTTGTCTTCATTTGGACTGAGTTTTAAAAGAACCAGGGGTCTGAAGTTTGGCTTAATGAGTTCCAGTTTGCTTCGATTTATTAACCCCTTTTACAACACCCTTTAAAATTCATTCACATAATAGAAACACATTTTATTTTCTATATTTACATACGCACAATGAAATTATCTAGTGGTTTTTCTTGGGAGCTGCGGCTACGCAGTTTCCAAGTAAAAACCCCAAGTAAAAATAAATATTGTCATATTTTAATAATAAAAATTTCTCATTGTTTTATAAGCAAAACAAATAAATTATAATTTATATTAGTTTGTAAATTAAAACACACAAATTAAAAACAAATAAAAACTAAAATAAAATTTAAAAATTTTAAACATTTTCAAAATTCTAGCAGTTTTATTTAAATTAAAAAAAAAAAAACAGGGTCATTGACTGTTATTTATTTTTAAACATATAAAAATTTATAATACAAAAACCACGCAAAATAATAAATAACATTTAACATTAAGCAGAACTTTAAAATGCAATAAAAATTCGTATTTGAAAGATTATTATTACACCAAACTACCAACCAAACAAGTTTATATTGATCTTGGTCTCTTGCAATTGTCACCATAATCTGGCAACAACATTATTGTTTGTTTACAATAAAATTCAATCACCCATGAGCTAATGCACCTTCTTGCACTCTTTCTCTCTCTCTCTCCCTCTATTTCAATATTTTATACATAACCTAACAAATGACATAGGAATGCAGCAGGCCTACTATAAAAAGCCAGTTTTTTTTATAAATTGTTTTATTTATTTATTTGTTATATGAGTTTTGATTTCGTTGAATAACTTTTTAATGGCACCGGTTTGTTTTTTTCTATATTAGAAATTATAAACGTAACTTTTTTTATAATAAATGACGGACGTATATAGAGCCCGCCTGTGTAACTGTTATACATGAAATGGTTTGACATTTGGGCTTGGTTTTTTAACACATACATATGTATGCATAGCGATCGTTAACGAGTTGCAATGTTTATAACAAATATTGGTTGGGAAAAGATGATCGTATCAATAACAGATAAGGGAAAGTTATTCCCTGGATGAAAAATATGAATAATTTCTTAAATAATCGAGTGTTATAAAAAAACCTTTATATCTAAATTAAGCTTTAATAAGAGATTTAGAAATTGTTAAGTTCAAAAATCAGCTGATCGTTAAGTGTTTAATATATTAGATCTACTGAAAGGTTCTGATACGAGTTATACTAAAAACAACCAGACGTTAAACCAGAAATTAAACGAATTTAGAATTTTAGATTTCGATCACTTTCGTAGACCGTAAATTATATTCTGATCTTGTTGCTCTAAAGAACCCATAAGTACATTTTTAAAATCAAGATTTAGATATTTCTTATTACGAATTTAAAAAAAAAATCTATATAAAATATCAATTAAATAACTTAAATTTTGAAAACTTACCCAATAATTTGGTATCAAGTCGTAATTAGTTTCGATTTTAGTCGTTTATTGTGATCTGCAAAGAAAATAAATTTTAACAATTAGATAAAATCAGACCTGGGATAAATGCATTAAATGTGTTAATGCATTAACAATTTTTTCTACATTAAAAAAAATTAATGTTAATGCAAGTTTATTGCATTAACATTAACATGGGTACATTTAATGCATTAAATTTGCATTAACATTAAATATTTTTAAATTTAATGCATTAATTTTATATTAACATTAAATATTTGTGAAATTAATGCATTAATTTTGCATTAACATTAAATATTTTTGAATTTAATGCATTAATTTTCCATTAACATTAAATAATAAATAATAAAATTAATGCATTAATTTTCCATTAACATTAATGTATAAAATAATTTATAAAAATAAGAATACAGCGCTAAAGACCTCGGTCTAACAAAATTCAAGTAAAATTGAATGTGTTAAAGTCCTTTCTAATAAGTCCTATACTCGATAATACATATTAGAAGAATAGTATCACTTCCCAGATATTCCATTTTTAGTTTATTTTGTTAAAGTTCTTTCTAATAAGTCCTATACTCGATAATACATATTAGAAGAATAATATCACTTCCCAGATATTCCTTTTTTAGTTTATTTTGTCTGTGGAATCTTATATAAATATCATATTTAAAACACACAAGTTTGAATGGAACATAGGAGTTATTAGAAAGGACTTTAACCTATTTAATTTTAGTTGTTTAGTTAGATCGAGGTCTTTTGAGCTGTATTTTTATTTATGTTTATCAATTTTTATATATATTAATGTTAATGGAATATTAATGCATTAATTTTATTGCTTATTTAATGTTAATGTAAAATTAATGCACTAAATTCAGATATATTTAATGTTATTGCAAAATTAATGCATTAATTTGAAAAATATTTAATGTTAATGTAAAATTAATGCATTAAATTCAAAAATATTTAATGTTAATGGAAATTTAATGCATTAAATTTTAAAAATTTAATGTTAATGCAATATTTTTTACATTAAATTAATTTTTTTTTAATTTAATGTTAATGCAAAATTAATGGAAATCGCCCAGGTCTGGATAAAATTGCTATAAAATTATACAAATTTCGAAAATTTGGTATATCGAGTAAGATTTCCAAGAAATACAATATTTAAATAAAGTGATATTCTATTGCATTATATAACCTAAAACTTGATCATTCCACGAAAGCGAATTATACACAAATCGATCCGGGGAAAGCAGCAAGTTACAAGGAAATTAAAAAAAAATTAAGAATCTCTGAGGAATTTTTCGGGGGAAATATGGCAGCACTGGATGAAATTATTTAATGAAATTTGTATAGCAGCTCAACTGCTTTTATAATCCATTAAAATAATCTTCAGCAGTCGCCGATGGAAAGAAAAATTCTCTTAACAGAGCAAAATTTAAAAGTTTTGGGATTCTTTGACTAATAAAACCATTTTCCGAAGAAATATGGCAGCACTGGATGAAATATTTTAATGAAATTTGTACAGCAGCTAAACTACGTTTATAATCCATAAAAATCACCTCTAAAAGTTTTTGTTGGAATGAGAAATTATCTTAACAGAGCCAAACACACAGAAATTATAATATTTTGGGATTCTCTGAGGTTTAACACCATTTTCCGGGAAAAGGGTGTAACTAGGAAAGAAAAATATTAATGAAATTTATTTAGTGATTCGTCTACTACTAAAATTATAGTAAGAAATCTTTAACAGATCATTTTGGAAGCAAAAATTCGTTTAACAGTGGAAATAATATAGAAATTATGGAACTTGAGATTCTCACTAATTTTCCTGAAAAACGGTTATGGGGAGTTATTGAAATTTGTACCTAAGATAGTCTGCTATTATAATTTATGCTCTAAAACATTAAATGATCCTTTAGAAGTAAGATTTTTTCTTAACAGATCCAGTTAAGTAGATAAATTATAAAATTTTGTGATTCTCTGAGGGATAACACCAATTTCCATAGAATAGGAACATGGAAGGTGGCCAAAAGTTATGGGAATTTATATGACACGTCATCTGCTCTTAAAAATGTAAGTCAAGTTTTATAACAAAAATTGTTGGAACCAGAAATTTTCTTAACAGAGCTAGAAAGTCGTACATTGAAATTTTGCGGATTGACTGAAATTGAATGGAAATTGAGGAATAGGGCCAGCATAGGCTGATAAAATTGGACAGGATTCATACAAAATCTGGTAAGCTTCTATAGCCAATAGATAGAATCCTCGAAAGAATTTATTGGAAGGAGACTTCACTTTAACAGACCGATATAAACAGAAATTGAATATGTTAGTTCTATATTTAAACCAGATATAATGTCTAACACACCACGTTGGAAGAATTCTCACGACTTTCGAACAATCGACTTTTTCTCTAAAAAAGTCACTATTTTGTATGAAAAAAGTCGAATAAGCGATTTTTCAAATAAGACAGTACAATTTAATTTTAAGAAAAAGTCTGGTAACTTTAGTATGCTTCAAAAATCAGTAATGTCAATAAAAAATTTCAACTGCAAACATAATAAAGCATATTTAAGTTTAAGGAAAAATTTAAAACGATCTATCTACACCTTACAGATATCAATGACTCCAACTCAAAAAATTTGAACTTTAACAAAGCAAAAGTTTTCCAACTTAACAATTAACGAATTGTTAAGATTTCCGCCACACAACAATTGTTAATAACATTTCTCACATTTAATTATTTATACTATTTAGTGCGTAGCACAACTAATTGAAGAAATACTATTTCAAACTGGGACTCATACATCTGTTAAATTTCAACTTGTATGAGACTATGTATAATAAAAATTTAATAAATAAATACTTGTTTAGTTGAAAAAAGTAATACATTAGTTTTTTAAATTAAAAAAAATTTCACTTTTTTCTTCAAAAGTGTTAATGAAAGTTTGAAAATTTGTCATGACAAATATGCACGTTTTCGTTAACCAAAACTAATTCAAAACAAATCAATGTTTAAAATTATATATAGACATACAAATTCACATGTCATAATATAACTTTTGCTTTTTTTTAAAAAACAATTTTAATATAAAACGTGTTCACATCGCAAAAAGAAATATAATTGAAATTGAAAGTGTTTTTTATAAGTTTTTCTCCCCCCAAAAAAGTTTAAAAAAGGTGAATAATTGTATATTTTGAAAAAGAGTAAAAATGTTTTAACGATGACACCATAATAAAAGTCATGGCTTGAATATTTTTAAAGTTTAATGATTTCTTTTAGTTGCTTTATAAGCAAAAATTTGACAAAGTGAAAATGTTAATTAAAAAAAAAAAATAAAAGAAAACTTTTTAATTAAAAATCATATAATTTTATATTATCTACCACTTTTTCTATTGTTTTTACTTTGTAAAGCATAAATTAAAATTTTAATAATATTCTTCAATTTTATGACTAATTATTTTCTATTAATAAAAATTTCCATAAAGTATGAAATAATTTTTCCAAAGAACTAACAAAAAATTTACATAATTTTGTAAACAAATTAACTTTTTTATACTTGAAGCTCATTTGCAAGTTATTATTTTCAAATTACATAATAATTTATATTTTAAATTCGTTTTTTACAAATTTCAACTTTATTCTACATAAAAAACGTTTACACTTTCTATATGTTTACTCTCTGCTTGTTAGCTTTACACCGCAGTTTATGCAGTTAATATGGCAACTACTTAATGAGTTGGCAACACTTTATTGCAACTATATAGCAGCTTAACATTTTAAGGGATAATGATTTTCTTGCTTTTCAAAGTGCATTTTTAGAAATTTTAATATTTTTTTAAATTAAAAGGAGTTTTAATATACTTTAGAGAAATTTAGCTAAATAAACATTATTTTTTTATATTTAAAAAAGTCGCTCAACAGTTTTTTAAAGTAAAAAGGAAAAAACATTTTTAAGGCCATTTTGGCTTTATGTTTATGAAAGGTATTTCATTTTTTGTAGTAAAATGAAATCTTGAAATAAAGATCGTAAGTTTAAAGTTAGTAATTTATTAAAAAATTATAATTAATTTATATTTGTAATTGAAATTTTATATTTCTATGAAAGAAATAATAAAAATGGCGTATAACAGTTAAAAAATGTAAACATAAATTTTTTTGGGAAAAATTTAGTTGTATCAGTTTTTCTAGTAATTTTTTCATCTGTATAACAGTTTTTTTCATAAAGAAATGTTGTGTATAACAGTTTATTACAGTACAATTTTGTATAGAATTATTTTTATTAAACTGTATAAGAAATTTGTGTAATTTATACCAACTATTTTTATAAAAAATATTGTGTATAACAGTTTTTTTCTAAAGAAAAACTTTAGAAATGTTCATTGTTTTTTGTAAAAAATTGTGTATAACAGCGTCTTCTAGATAAATGTTGTGTTTAATAGTTTTCTAACAAACTAATTTTGTGTATAACAGTTTTTTCTAAATAAAATGTTGGGTATAACAGTTTATTACAGTACAATTTTGTTTAGAACTATTTTTTTTTTTCAACTGTATAAGAAATTTGTTTAATTTATACCAATTTTTTTTATAAAAATATTGTGTATAACAGTTTTTTTCTAAAGAAAAACGTTAGTATAATATTATTCTTTGTTTTTTTATGAAAATTTTGTATGAGTGTCTTCTAGATAAATGTTGTGTTTAATAGTTTTCTAATGAACAAATTTTGTGTTCTGTCTAGGTAATATATTGTATATAACAGTTTATTACTGTACAATTTTGTTAAGAACTGTTTTTTTCAACTATAATGAGATATTTGTTTAATTTATAACAGTTTTTTTATAAAAAAATATTGTGTATAACAATTTTTTTCTAGAGAAAAACGTTAGTATAACATTTTTCCTTGTTTTTTTTATAAAAATTTTGTATAACAGTTTCTTCTAGATAAATGTTGTGTTTAATATTGTGTATAACATTTTTTTCTAGATACAATTTTGTGCTTAATAGTTTTCTAATGAAAAAAATTTTGTGTATAA